GCTGGTGTCGAGAAAAAAAATGAAAAAAATATCGAGCCCTGCGGATTAGAATGAATGATCGACATGTTATTTGTTTTTCATGAAATTGTCTTCTAATAATAAAGAATATGTTTTTTTTCGTTACGGCAATAATAAAGGAAAGCACCTTATGTGGCACATTTACAACCATTAGATTTAGAGTTTTTTTGCTATGTGTTTAATTATTAATATTTTTTTTTGTTATTGGGTAAATTAGCCCAAGTTAATTTCATATGAAAAATAAAAACGTAATTAGGAGACGAAAATTATCCGCGTCTGCGCCTGGGGATTTATAGTGGGTCCTACATACTAGTAGTAGGGAAACCTTTAGTAAAGAACCCAACAAACCCAGATTCTCTCTACTTCCCCAAGAAGATATCTCTTCTTCTTCAAAATCGTTCGTGCTTGCTTCGATTTTTGCTACTACGATCTCGGAATTTCGATTCTACCGACTCCGATTTTGCTACATGGTTACTTCTGAATCTTTAGATTCTTTGTTTAATCGTTTTTTGTGTGTGTTTTCTGGTGCGAAACACTGTAAAGTAGGATTTGTGTGATGCGATTTCTTCATTCTTCTAAATAGTTCGTGCTTGCTTCGATTTTTGCTTATACGATATCGGAATTTCGATTCTACAGTTCCAATTTTGATCTTCTTCCATACATGGTTACTTTTGAATCCTTAGATTCTTTGTTTAACCGTTTCTTTTTGTGTTCTGTTTGGTGCGAAACACACTAAAGTAGGGATTTGTGTGATGCGATTTTTTCATTCTTCTAAATATTTTGCTTTCGCGTTTCTTGTTTCTTAAAGAGCTGTTTAATCCTTCGATTTTGTTGAATCTTTTGATTTTTTTTGTAGAACGATTTCATATGTTTAATCGTCTTTTTAGAACGATTATTGTAGAACGATCTCATCTGTTTAACCGTCTTTTTGTGTTCTTCCTGTTCTCTTTATGGTCTGAAACCTCTAAACACAACTAGGGATTTTCGTTTTCTCTTTCTGGTGTTAATCGTTTTTTCTTTTTAATGCAAAACAAAAATAGGGTTTTTTTTGGTTAATCGTTATCTGTATCTGATGAGAAACACAGCTTGTGTAGTGGTGCTAGGTTCTATTAACAGTTTTGTCATTCTTCTAATAAACGCTTTCTTTCTCATGATGACAAAMATTTGTTCATATTGTGATTTTTCAGATGAATTCATCTGCTGCTAGTGACGGGTCTTTTGATGAACAAGATGCAATTCGGCTTTCCAATAAAGCAC